CAAGTGACCACTTACCCGGTTCACCTTACCCTTAAACTGTGTCAAAATTAATCAAAATTTACCGGCGCAAGTCTCCACTAATTGGGACAATTTCCGGCATATTTTGAATTCAAAAAATCTTCCCCCCCCTCAAAATTAGCAATAATCATGATGTTGATAACTCTATTGAGCAACTCACCTAGCACAATTAAAAGTGCATTTGATGCGGCCTCATTCCCTAAATTTAGACCAAATTATTCCAAACTCCCGGCCTACATTAAAGATAAAATCAAAATTAAAAAACCGTCTTCGTAGAGATTGGCAAAGAACCCGAGTTGAAACTACCAGAACACAACTACGAAGACTCCAGAACGAGATTAAATCTGACATCAAAAGGTATTCTGATGATAAATTTAACTCTTATCTTAGGTCCTTAAAGACCACAAATAATAGCCTTTGGGAAGCTAGCGCTCGGCTACGCAAACCAAAAAATGACATTCCCCCCCTAATGGGCACGGTTAATAACCGGATGGCAATCACAGACACAGACAAGGCTGAACGCCTTGCTGACAGTCTACAGGAACAATTTTCACCAAAATACTGGGCCTCTGTTCGATACCTGCACTCCGCATGGGCGAGAGGTCCAAATACAGGTTAATAATTTTCTAGAAACAGCCCCTGATTCAGAAGAACCCATCAAAACAACAATGTCTGAGTTAGCATATGTAATACGTGACTTAACCCCCAAAAAGGCACCTGGCCTGGATAATATTAACAATCGCATGATTAAAAACCTCCCAGTTAAAATTCATATTTTACCTAGCATTTTTGTTTAATACTATGCTTAAGGCTAAAATATTATCCTGATAGCTGGAAAAATGCTTGCGTAATTCCTATTCTAAAACCTGCTTCGGACCCAAAAGTCCCTCAAAATTACAGGCCGATCAGCCTCCTGTCCTCTCTTAGTAAACTTTACGAAACAATATTGCTTAGACACCCTGAAAGATTTCTGCCGAAACCGAAATATAATTATCCCACAACAATTCGGTTTTCGAGCTAAACACTCCACTCAGGCCCAGCTACTGAGAGTAGTGGAAATCATTCATACGGGTGCTCGCAATAGAATGCCAACAGCTATTGTTTATTTAGATGTAGCAAAGGCATTCGACAGGTGTTGGCACATCGGCATAATATACAAGCTCATGCGACTTGGACTTTTCGGCTGACTTTGTGCGACTAATGCACTCCTACCTAAATAATCGGCATTTCTGTGTTAAAGTTAAAAATTCTCTCTCTTCCCCCCGCCCTATCCTGGCTGGGGTCCCTCAGGGAGGAATAATTAGCGCGTATCTTTTTAACCTGTATGTAAACGACATTCCACAATTACCCACTGTCGATCTTGCACTTTATGCAGACGACACTGCCATTATTTCACAACACTCAACTCTTCACCACACTTTGCATCATCTCCAGCAATACCTGTCAGATTTAGAGTCCTGGCTCGTTGACTGGAAGATCAAAATTAATGTTGCAAAAAGTGCTGCCACCGTTTTCTTTTCCAGAAAAAGGAATGTTCACAGCCAACTCCAACCACTCAAGCTCTACAATGAAAACGTACCTTGGGTGGACTACTACAAATATCTCGGAGTTTATCTGGATGCGAAGCTAATCTGGGGCGTCCATATTTCATATACGCAATAAGCAAAGCTAAAACCACCAGGAACCAACTAATGCAACTTAATATCCAGAACCAGCCACCTATCTCTCCGCAACAAGCTCCTACTCTATACAAGCACCATCATGCCAATCCTGACGTTACGCAGCACCCATCTGGGCCACAGCAGCTAACTTCACATCTCAAGAAGATTCAAGTTTTCCAAAACGTCACGCTTCGCATCCTCAACTAATGCTCACTGGTATGTACGCAATGAAGTACTACCATTCTGACCTCAAAATTCTTCCCCTGGATGCTTATTTCAAGCACATTTCGGCAAAATTTTTTTCAATAGAATTGAACAGATTAGCAAACCCGGTCTTGCATAACATTCCTGCCTATAATCCCAGCTGAACCTAGTTCTGCTAAAAGACCTAGGGCTGTCATGGACAGATCTTATAACAACATCTTCCCTAGGCGGCCTAAAAGGGTTTGTTTGCTTGATCGGGGAACCTCATCTGGACTAAACTATCAGTACTTCATGGGCCTAACCCAGCTACATTTAACCTATACCCCCAGACCTAATCTGGCATAGCTTTTCGCGAATCCATCACCGTGCTGCTATATTTTTTATTTAATACCCACTCTTGCCAAGACCTCTACTGCCAGAAGAATGTAGAATGTAATTACTTATAATTCCAATACCTAAACCATCTAAAACATATCACTCTTTAATTATTTTTAATCTCTAAAAGCTAAAAAAAAACCTCAATAAGAATTAGTATAATTTCAAACTAAAAATTTATTAAATTATTAATCTTTTTTCCTCTAGCTAAAGCTTCATCTCTGCAATACAAGCTGCATTTCTTCAATTCACCCCTTCGGTTCTTCGCTACTCAAAGCTTACTCCTTCCAGTTATTTTTTTATTCTCTCCCGTAGCAAGCGCTTTTCGACTCTCTCGCCTTCTTCGGTCAATGACCTCGTCCCCCCACCCCGACCACCCCAAGGCTCTTAGCTAAAAGCTTGAATACAGTCTACCTTACCTTTCCCGGGCCCGGCTTTTTCCGCGCCTCTCTCCTTCAGCTGTTTCGTATCCATGGCAACCATTCACGCCCAGCGTGCTGGCTGTCCTCCTATTGTATCTGAGAGCAAGCGGTTGACTCGCGAGGGGGCTAAACGCCCTCCATTGTGATCAACGCCTGCGCTCTTCCTCCTGTGTCCAAACAAGAGGACCCTTATCGATTCTTGATTTTTTTGCATAACTGCTTCTTTCACAAACTTTAGCTAATGCTTTCTCTTAATCATTCCAATTTTCCTGAACGAAGATGTGGAGGTAATTGCATTTAATTGCAAAGGTACTCCGTAATTCAAACGCCTTGGTCCTTGGTCCGAAGTCAAGCAGCATCGGGCGCGGTCAGTACTTGGGAGGGTGACCACCTGGGAACACCGCGTGCTGTTGACATATTTTTGTCCCCTTGCAAATTTTTATGCTTCCATTAGTAATAATAATTATTTAAAATACCTTTTTTTTTTGTCTTTATATTATAGGAAACCTGTACTTTATTACAATTGAAGAAATGCAAGCTTGTATATTGTGCAGAAAATAAGGTAAATATAAATAAAACTGAAAAGTTCTTGACTGTATATTAAAAATTCTTAAAATAAAAAAAGGGAAGAACCTTACTTTATGATACCTCTTCCCCTAATATAAGTATATAATAACGTAGATGTAAATAACATTGGCATTGCCTTTATATTCAAATACCACGTAGTTTACACATGCTACATTTACGATGACAGCGGTATTTCATATTTTGTCTCTCTACTTAAATATACAATATTTTAATATATGTGTAGTGAACTCAAATTCCTTAATTATGAATCAACACAGTGTTTGAGTAGCTTTCTCTAGGGCTTCGACAACGACCGAAATTTTAATATATTCTATGATTATTACAGTATTTTTTTCCCCTGTTGTGTGGGCGGAGTTAGTTCATCCTGCAGGAATAAAATTTCATGTACTTCAGAACTCTTTTGGATTATAATACCGTAAGTATTATAGAAAACTGTTAAAAGAACTAGGGAAAATATTCTAGGGAGCATAGACAGGGATGGAAATGACATTAATTGTTTGTAATTCTATCACCCTCCTAATAATTTCTTCTTATTGGTCGAACAGACACTAATTTCGTCACGTGACAAAAAGCATAAAAATGCGTGCGTCTGTGGGTTCGACGGCAGTATATCTGAATTTATTCTTGAAAGTTACATTCGTAGAATTTTACCTAGCAGAAAATGTCTGGCCGTGGAAAAGGTGGTAAAGGTCTTGGCAAAGGGGGTGCAAAAAGGCATCGCAAAGTGTTAAGAGATAACATCCAAGGAATCACCAAACCAGCAATTAGGCGTTTGGCAAGACGTGGCGGTGTAAAGCGTATCTCGGGCCTCATCTATGAGGAGACAAGAGGAGTACTTAAAGTTTTCTTGGAAAATGTTATTCGAGATGCAGTTACCTATACTGAGCATGCAAAAAGGAAAACTGTCACTGCCATGGATGTCGTTTATGCGTTAAAGAGACAGGGACGTACACTTTACGGATTTGGTGGTTAGAGACCTCTTACTTTCCCCACACCCTGCTCTTTAAAAAAAAAAAAAAAAAAAAGGCCCTTTTCAGGGCCATACAAATCTTAAAATTTAGAAATGCCTTTATTGCTGTCATATAATTTCACCTCATGCTTTTCTCTTGAGTCACATTTCAGTCCAATTAAAATTAGCATTTAATGTTCTATTTATGTATTTGAATTCTAAAGTTAATTGCTTTATGTCTCTAAATTAAAAAAAAAAAGAGCTGTAATTTAAAATTTCACAAGCAAGATTACAAATTAAATACAACATTTTAAACTTAAAAAAAATCCCAATTTAAATCTTTGAAAAAAAGTATCAATATATAGAGTGGTCACACATAGGACTCTCTTCTTCAGAAGCAATAAAGGCATTTCTTTTTTAAAATTTGTATGGCTCTGAAAAGAGCCTTTTTTTTTTTTTTTTTTTTTCATTTGTACATTATCAATACACAATCCCTTACTTCTTGCTTTTCTTTGGTGTCGCCTTTTTAGCAGCTTTAAGTTTTTTTCGCTTTAGGAGGCTTAGGTTTCGCTGCCTTTACAGCTTTCTTCTTCGGACTTTTTGCTTTACTCGCCTTTTTAACACTCAACTTTCTTAGCGGCAGGTTTCTTTTTCTCTTCTTTAGCCTTAGCTGGTTTCTTAGCAGCTGGTTTAGCCTTTCTTGGCTGATGATGCAGCTGCTTTTTTAGGCTTCTTTTTCCTGCTTTCCTGACTCTTTACCTTTCTGACCGGATGCGCTTAACTTTAAATGAACCGGTAGCTCCTTTTCCCTTTTGTCTGAACCAGGCTTCCACCCGCCACAGCACTCTTTAAGTATTTCTTGATGAAAGGTGTCAAACGGTCAATATCTACCTTGTGATGTGATGCAATATGCTTCTTAATAGCTTGCAGAGATGAGCCACCGCGTTCCTTCAAACTAGAAATAGCCTCCACGACCATTGCTGAAACCTTAGGATGCGACGGCAACGCTTTCGGTTTCTTACTCGGACTTTTCTTCTTCGCCTTTTTTGGCGTAGCAGCCACAGGGGTAGCGGAAACAGTAGCAGTTTCTTCAGCCATCTCGCTCACAGTTTTGCAGAGAAATGAATCAAATTTCTGAGTTACTTTAATGTTATACAATAATGCTAGGTGGCGCTTAGAAATCTTTCGTCTGCAATAGGTCTCCTTAGTCACGTGATTGGAAATAAAATTGATAAATAGGCCAGGTCTAAATTTCGCGGGCACATTTTCTCGTTTTAACGAAATCGTGACCTCTCGATATGGCTCGTACAAAGCAGACTGCAAGGAAAAGTACCGGAGGTAAAGCTCCTAGGAAGCAGCTGGCCACCAAAGCTGCACGTAAAAGCGCACCAGCAACCGGAGGTGTTAAAAAACCTCATCGTTACAGACCAGGTACTGTTGCTCTTGAGAGAAATTCGTCGTTATCAGAAATCAACGGAATTACTTATCCGCAAATTGCCTTTCCAGCGCTTAGTTAGAGAAATTGCTCAAGATTTTAAGACCGATCTCCGATTTCAGAGCTCAGCAGTTATGGCTCTTCAGGAAGCCAGCGAAGCTTACCTCGTAGGATTGTTCGAAGATACCAACTTGTGCGCCATTCACGCCAAGAGAGTCACCATCATGCCTAAAGACATTCAGCTGGCCCGTCGTAATTCGAGGAGAGAGAGCTTAAAATCATAATTTGTTAAAAGTAAAAAAAAAAAGGCCCTTTTCAGGGCCATACAAATAATTTAATAAGATTCAATATAATTGCTATCATGTATTCCGTCTTTTTTTTGTACATTAATTTTTTTACTTTACATTAGATCATTCTTTTAAATAAAGATCTATTGTGATAGCAATTATTCCATCTAATTAAATTATTTGTAATTTCTGAAAAGGGGCTTAAAACACCGAACTGTGCGTTGTAATAACTTACGAAAGTTAAGAATAGAACGACTTTTCAGTACAAATGTATACAGCAAGATGGCGCCACTTCTCAGATGCGCCTTAAACTCCCTTCACCTATAGCTTTAGCATTAGCCTTTCTTTCCGAGTCCCATGAGTTAATGTTTTATAATGTACATGAAAATATATACGAATGTGTCCTGGGAGCACATCTTTGTGCGAATTTTGAATGAAATATATATATGGAAAAGATTTAGCCAACGTATGCTGCAATTTTCAGTATAAGCAATTAAGCATTCTCTTCTTCGTACATTTTCTGGCCCTTAAAAGGGCCTTTTTTTTTTTGTAGCGTTAGGGGAAGTAGGAATTATGCTTTCTTTTCGGTTTTTTTGGGAAGTAGAACAGCCTGGATATTGGGTAGAACTCCACCTTGTGCAATTGTGACGCCAGAGAGTAATTTATTCAACTCCTCGTCGTTTCTGATGGCCAGCTGCAGATGTCTTGGAATTATTCTGGTCTTCTTGTTATCTCTAGCAGCATTACCGGCCAACTCAAGAACCTCAGCTGCCAAATATTCTAAAACTGCAGCAAGATACACTGGAGCTCCAGCACCAACTCTTTCTGCATAATTTCCCTTTCGCAGAAGACGATGGATACGACCTACAGGAAACTGAAGACCAGCACGACTGGACCGAGTCTTGCTCTTCCCCTTTACTTTGCCACCTTTTCCACGACCAGACATGACGATATTATTTGTGGGGTATACGAAATAATGACTGGCGACGGTCCTGGACAGACATTTTTATCAACTCTGTACTTATTATGTCTGGCCAATCAGATTCCCGAGTTTTGAATCCGAATAGAATCGTAGCCTCGCAATATTTGTTACGTACTCATCGTTGAAACATGAATTGTCATTCCTCTTGATTCTTCTCTAAATTATTTAAACCTGTTATATCAAATTTTACTGTACTGAGTAAAAGCATTTCATGACCAAGTATTCATAATTACAGAATATTATTCTTATTAAAACTAATGTATATTATATACATTTAATTTTACTGGTTATTCCTTCTCTTTCAACTAGCGAAATGCTTCATTATACAAACTTCTGGCATATAGTTTCACTGTATATATGCACTCCTACTGTACTCCTACTGTATATATGCACTCCTACTACTTCACTGTATATACTACTCCTACTACTACTGTACTACTACTACTACTGTACTATAGTATAGTTTCACTGTATATATGCACTACTACCTATATATGCACTCTACTACAAGTAGAGTGAGTAACTAGTTGTGTATACGAAAAAAAAAATTAAAAATGTATATATACTACTTACTTTAAAAAAAAAAAAATTAAATAATATGAATGTATAAAAGGTACACAGTACACGGTCAACATTTCTTCGCCAGAATAGATAAGCACAAGTGCTGTAGAAAAATCTGCACAAGAATGAATATATTGTGAACCAAAAGAGAAGTTAAGAACTCCTTTATTCCAATTGAGCGTTCTATCCAGGTTGCATCCAAGCTACCCGAAGCGAAATCTACCTATTAGCCAGTCAGGGGAACTCCTCACTGGCGCCCGAACATCTCAGCCACTTCAAACCCTTGTCGGTTACAACCAAATCCCTAAAGAAGCTGTAAGTGCTGTACATACCGAAAACGTAGTTGATTTCTTGACATTTTTAACAGTTATTGAGCTGTTAGAAAAGAAAATAATGCAATCTCCTTTTTTTTTTTTTTTTTTTTTTTTTTGTTTTCCATCTTCTTCAATTGCCTATATTTTTTTTGCCTTGCACTGAGGTAGTTTGGCAGAATTTGGTTTATATGAAATCTCTTAAATTTATTTCTCAGTTAATTTATTGAACTCTATTTTTCGGAACAGTGAAGTAGTATTCATTGAATAAATATTGTTAAGTTTCTGATGTGTGTGTGTACACTGATTAATTGACTGAACTTGGTAGTTCTTCAATTCATATCACACACGCCTAGTATTTTCGTGCATTTAGCTGCTGAAAAATTATCAGTAAAGACGCAAAGTAAGTAATTTAGAACTAAATGTTCACAAAGATCAGATACTGAAATTAATAATTCATAAATTTTAAGTAATCCTGTCAATGCATTAGCCAATTTACGAAATGTTAAAACAATAACTTTTCAGAGAAGCTATACCCCTACTGATTAGAAGAAATGCTGTGCTGCAGCAGAATCTGCATATATATATTTTAAATTCTGTTAAACATAAATAACTATCCAAGTAAGTTGCTATAGGTATGGCTGTCTTTCATTGAAAATACTTAGTTACATAAATGTTGGGAAAAAAAAGACAAACAAAAGGTTTTATACATTTTATTTCTACACTAAATCAAGTCACACATAATATAACACAGAATCAAAACATATTGCAGGAATGCACTTTAATCATCACTCTCTGTTGGCATTTAGTGAGGAAATAAAACTGTTGCCACTTACACTGTCTATAAATAGCTATTGAAATACAATATCCCTCAATATCTGTTTGTGGGTGGGAAACATCCAATAGAATTCATTCCTCAAAACAATGCTATTGTCCTGAAGTGACCCCTCAGCTGATAAAGTGGTCAGATCAGGTCAGACAAGTGTAGCAAGATGGTGCATGTGATGTTTGATGTTTTAATTCCACCAAATGTAGGATATTGAACTAAAGAATATAGTTTTTATTGGAAGGTAAGTTCATTTAAGATTATATTTTCGATTTGTAATAAGTAATATTAATATTAATAGCTGTCTATAAGTAATATGAATATTTGTATGATGAAAGAAATTTGCAAAACAATTTTTTTCCTTCTTAGTGTTCATTGTTTATGTTTTGCCTAACCAGGTTTTTCGTATGAAATGTCTTGTAATTTTTTTTTCCTGTTGTGTAAATGTTTATTGTTTATAATAAGAATTGTTTTGGAAAAAAAATAATATCCCATAATTCTAAATGCTTGGTGAAGTCTTCCACTTAATATAGTGCATCTTCATGCTATGTATTTGTATTTCATTTGATCAAATATTTTTTTATGTTAAAAATATTTATTTGATGTCATCTTTATTTGTATACTTCGTATTTGCAATGTATATGAAAACCCTGAATACTTTACTATGTATGTACATGTGAATACTTTGCTGTGTATATGAAAAAATGTTGTATTTATTTCATAGTGCATCAGTGCCTTGAAGGTATGCATGTTGAAAGATACAACTGTAATTTTGGATCATGAAAGATAAATGTTATGGACTGAAACTGCATTACACTGAAAATATTGAACACATGAAAAACTGAGTAGTCTTATTAATCATATTACATACATGTTCTGAGCGGATTCAGCAGGATGATTCATTGATGTGATCATTATCGGTTCGCATTTGAGTAATAACCCAATTTCCACTTTAGAGAGAGAGAAGAAATGAAATGTGACCTATTTGTATGTTGTTAAAATATGTATTTTTAGTATAGGTAGCGGTTTCTTTTTTTATTGTTTGTGGTATGAAATATCGGATTTGTGGCATGAAATGTCAATGTTTGTTGTATGAAATGTTGTCAAAATATGTACTTTTAATGAATAAAATGTTTAAATGTTTAAATATGGTTTTTTTTAATGAAAAATGGTTTCAGAAATGTCACATTTGTATTAAGTTGTAGAATCAATGAAAAACTGAGGAAACGACTGTATTTTCTAATGCGATAGCGAAGTGAATGAAAAGTTTTTTGAAGTCGATGAGGAGACGAATGTATTTTCTAATGCGACAAGTAAGTCCACAAATTATAAATGTGGCAACGAAGGAAATGATATGTTCTGAAACTGAGGAAACGACTGTATTTTCTAATGCGGCAAATGTGAAAAATAAGTCTATAAATTATAAATGTGGCCACGAAGAGAATGAAATGTTCCTTATATCTTACCTTTGTTGAATGTATTCTTTCGATAGGCTCGGAGAAAGGCTGTGGTCAAACCGTTTGCGAAACATGCGAGGATTTATGAAAGCAAAGCAGTGACAGAAAGATAGCATTTTGTGATGCATCAGAGTTTATTAATTATAAACCGGCAAAAGCTGAATTTTTTAAATATTTAATTAATTTTTTTTAATAATTAAAAAAATATGATTTATTTGCGGAGAAGAAATTTCATCCAGATGATATCCCCACCCCACCCCCTACCTTCCTTCCTTCCTGCCCCCCTTTGGGATTCGAACCCGGGCCTTCCGGCCCGGCAGTTAGCTTCGCTAACCACTGTCCCGTCTGGGCAGGCTAGCCAGTTTCCTGTCCCGCCAGCACTTGCTATGCTTTGCATACCGTTGAATGTTTTCGTTCCAGTTACTCGGAGAAAGGCTGTGACTGAGCTAGTGAAACGATTCGTGATACGTACACCTGAAAACTACGACACTGATATGCATACATTTTGATAAATAGCAAACTTATGAAAAACCACCTGCATTGAAATGTATTAAGGCTGATTTCCGGAAAGCAGTGTGTATATAAGTGAGCTGGGACTAACTGCTAAAGTACAATTTTTCCTTATTCGGTTATTGTGTGTGTATTAGATCCTCATTTTGAAGATAAGAAATTGGATGCAGAGCAATGAGGATAAAGATGATGACTTGTAGAGCTGAAATATATATGATCGATTTCTTTTGCAAAGAGTGTGAATTAATTTTAAAAATGCCAATATGAAATTATAAATTGAACAATGAGTGATTTAAGGATAAGCAGGTAACAGCTAACCTTTATCATATTCTGGCCCTGAAAAGGGCCTTTTTTGATGGGTAAAGCTTTGAAAATTTACTTAGAGCTGGTGTACTTGGTGACAGCTTTGGTTCCTTCCTTCCGAAACAGCATGTTTTGCCAGTTCACCAGGCAACAATAGACGTACTGCAGTTTGTATTTCTCGGCTAGTGATAGTACTCCTCTTATTGTAATGAGCTAAGCGAGAAGATTCAGCTGCAATTCTTTCGAAGATGTCATTAACGAATGAATTCATGATAGACATAGCCTTACTCGAGATGCCAGTGTCGGGTGAACTTGTTTCAAAACTTTGTAGATGTAAATAGCGAAAGATTCCTTCCTGCGCTTCTTCCTCTTTTTCTTGTCACCAGCTCGGACAGCTTTCTGTGCCTTTCCGGCCTTCTTTACAGCTTTCCCAGATGCTTGAGGAGGCATTTTTTAAGAGTCTGCGAATGAACGAAAATCCAAAAAAAGGCACATTGGATGCAGCATATTTATTGAATTTCATTCTTTTCATTTCCATCCAATGAGAAACGTTCTAATACAGCCTATCTTGGACAGAAAAGGTTCATTATAATACATATATATACAAATTATTGTTATTACAATTTCATATTACTGATATTGTGGATTATAGTTACGAGCCACATTTTTTTAAATTTCTAATTTATTGATTTTTTTTTTTTTTTTTTTTTCTTGTTCTTCCCTTGGGGGGTGGGGAATCTCTTTTCCAATAGGGAAGTACTTATGACAAATAAAACCCCTCTTATTAATAAAAGTATATGACAGATGTGCACAAAATCAAGTAATACTCTAAAACTTCGAATTTTGGGTTACTTATTGTTTATTTCGCTATTTGTAAGCGTCAACGGCCATACCATGCTGAAAGTACCGGTTCTCGTCCGATCACCGAAGTCAAGCAGCATCGGGCGCGGTCAGTACTTGGGAGGGTGACCACCTGGGAACACCGCGTGCTGTTGACATATTTTTGTCCCCTTGCAAATTTTTATGCTTCCATAGTAATAATAATTATTTAAAATACCTTTTTTTTTTTTTGTCTTTATATTATAGGAAACCTGTACTTTATTAGAATTGAAGAAATGCAAGCTTGTATATTGTGCAGAAAATAAGGTAAATATAAATAAAACTTAAAAGTTCTTCACTGTATATTAAAAATTCTTAAAATAAAAAAGGGAAGAACCTTACTTTATCATACCTCTTTCCCTAATATAAGTATATAATAACGTAGATGTAAATAACATTGGCATTGCCTTTATATTCAAATACCACGTAGTTTACACATGCTACATTTACGATGACAGCGGTATTTCATATTTTGTCTCTACTTAAATATACAATATTTTAATATATGTATAGTGAACTCAAATTCCTTAATTATGAATCAACACAGTGTTTGAGTAGCTTTCTCTAGGGCTTCGACAACGACCGAAATTTTAATATATTCTACGATTATTACAGTATTTTTTTCCCCTGTTGTGTGGGCGGAGTTAGTTCATCTTGCAGGAATAAAATTTCATGTACTTCAGAACTCTTTTGGATTATAATACCGTAAGTATTATAGAAAACTGTTAAAAGAACTAGGGAAAATATTCTAGGGAGCATAGACAGGGATGGAAATGACATTAATTGTTTGTAATTCTATCACTCTCCTAATAATTTCTCCTTATTGGTCGGACAGACACTAATTTCGTCACGTGACAAAAAGCATAAAAATGCGCGCGTCTGTGGTTCCCGCAGTATATCTGAATTTACTCTTGAAAGTTACGTTCGTAGAATTTGACCTAGCAGAAAATGTCTGGCCGTGGGAAAGGTGGTAAAGGTCTTGGCAAAGGGGGTGCAAAAAGGCATCGCAAAGTGTTAAGAGATAACATCCAAGGAATCACCAAACCTGCAATTAGGCGTTTGGCAAGACGTGGCGGTGTAAAGCGTATCTCGGGCCTCATCTATGAGGAGACAAGAGGAGTACTTAAAGTTTTCTTGGAAAATGTTATTCGAGATGCAGTTACCTATACTGAGCATGCAAAAAGGAAAACTGTCACTGCCATGGATGTCGTTTATGCGTTAAAGAGACAGGGACGTACACTTTACGGATTTGGTGGTTAGAGACCTCTACTTTCCCCACACCCTGCTCTTTAAAAAAAAAAAAAAAAAAAAAGGCCCTTTTCAGGGCCATACAAATCTTAAAATTTAGAAATGCCTTTATTGCTGTCATATAATTTCACCTCATGCTTTTCTCTTGAGTCACATTTCAGTCCAATTAAAATTAGCATTTAATGTTCTATATTATGTATTTGAATTCTAAAGTTTAATTGCTTTTATGTCTCTAAATTAAAAAAAAAAAGAGCTGTAATTTAAAATTTCACAACAAGATTACAAATTAAATACAACATTTTAAACTTAAAAAAAATTCTCACTTTAAGTCTTTGAAAAAAAGTATCAATATCTAGAGTAGTCACACATAGGACTCTCTTCTTCAGGAAGCAATAAAGGCATTTCTTTTTTAAAATTTGTATGGCTCTGAAAAGAGCCTTTTTTTTTTTTTTTTTTTCATTTGTACATTTCAATACACAATCCCTTACTTCTTGCTTTTCTTTGGTGTCGCCTTTTTAGCAGCTTTAAGTTTTTTTCGCTTTAGGAGGCTTAGGTTTCGCTGCCTTTACCGCTTTCTTCGGGCTTTTTGCTTTACTCGCCTTTTTAACACTCAACTTTCTTAGCGGCAGGTTTCTTTTTTCTCTCTTTTTAGCCTTAGCTGGTTTCTTAGCAGCTGGTTTAGCTTTCTTGGCTGATGATGCAGCTGCTTTTTTAGGCTTCTTTTCTTGCTTTCCTGACTCTTTACCTTTCTGACCGGATGCGCTAACTTTAAATGAACCGGTAGCTCCTTTTCCTTTTGTCTGAACCAGGCTTCCACCCGCTACAGCACTCTTCAAGTATTTCTTGATGAAAGGTGTCAAACGGTCAATATCTACCTTGTGATGTGATGCAATATGCTTCTTAATAGCTTGCAGAGATGAGCCACCGCGTTCCTTCAAACTAGAAATAGCCTCCACGACCATTGCTGAAACCTTAGGATGCGACGGCAACGCTTTCGGTTTCTTACTCGGACTTTTCTTCGCCTTTTTTGGCGTAGCAGCCACAGGGGTAGCGGAAACAGTAGCAGTTTCTTCAGCCATCTCGCTCACAGTTTTGCAGAGAAATGAATCAAATTTCTGAGTTACTTTAATGTTATACAATAATGCTAGGTGGCGCTTAGAAATCTTTCGTCTGCAATAGGTCTCCTTAGTCACGTGATTGGAAACAAAATTGATAAATAGGCCAGGTCTAAATTTCGCGGGCACATTTTCTCGTTTTAACGAAATCGCGACCTCTCGATATGGCTCGTACAAAGCAGACTGCAAGGAAAAGTACCGGAGGTAAAGCTCCTAGGAAGCAGCTGGCCACCAAAGCTGCACGTAAAAGCGCACCAGCAACCGGAGGTGTTAAAAAACCTCATCGTTACAGACCAGGTACTGTTGCTCTGAGAGAAATTCGTCGTTATCAGAAATCAACGGAATTGCTTATCCGCAAATTGCCTTTCCAGCGCTTAGTTAGAGAAATTGCTCAAGATTTTAAGACCGATCTCCGATTTCAGAGCTCAGGCAGTTATGGCTCTTCAGGAAGCCAGCGAAGCTTACCTCGTAGGATTGTTCGAAGATACCAACTTGTGCGCCATTCACGCCAAGAGAGTCACCATCATGCCTAAAGACATTCAGCTGGCCCGTCGTAATTCGAGGAGAGAGAGCTTAAAATCATAATTTGTTAAAAGTAGTAAAAAAAAAAAGGCCCTTTTCAGGGCCATACAAATAATTTAATAAGATTCAATATAATTGCTATCATGTATTCCGTCTTTTTTTTTTGTACATTAATTTGTTTTACTTTACATTAGATCATTCTTTTAAATAAAGATCTATTGTGATAGCAATTATTCCATCTAATTAAATTATTTGTAATTTCTGAAAAGGGGCTTAAAACACCGAACTGTGCGTTGTAATAACTTACGAAAGTTAAGAATAGAACGACTTTTCAGTACAAATGTATACAGCAAGATGGCGCCACTTCTCAGATGCGCCTTAAACTCCCTTCACCTATAGCTTAGCATTAGCCTTTCTTTCCGAGTCCCATGAGTTAATGTTTTATAATGTACATGAAAATATATACGAATGTGTCCTGGGAGCACATCTTTGTGCGAATTTTGAATGAAATATATATGGAAAAGATTTAGCCAACGTATGCTGCAATTTTCAGTATAAGCAATTAAGCATTCTCTTCTTCGTACATTTTCTGGCCCTTAAAAGGGCCTTTTTTTTTTTGTAAGCGTTAGGGGAAGTAGGAATTATGCTTTCTTTTCGGTTTTTTTTTGGGAAGTAGAACAGCCTGGATATTGGGTAGAACTCCACCTTGTGCAATTGTGACGCCAGAGAGTAATTTATTCAACTCCTCGTCGTTTCTGATGGCCAGCTGCAGATGTCTTGGAATTATTCTGGTCTTCTTGTTATCTCTAGCAGCATTACCGGCCAACTCAAGAACCTCAGCTGCCAAATATTCTAAAACTGCAGCAAGATACACTGGAGCTCCAGCACCAACTCTTTCTGCATAATTTCCCTTTCGCAGAAGACGATGGATACGACCTACAGGAAACTGAAGACCAGCACGGCTGGACCGAGTCTTGCTCTTCCCCTTTACTTTGCCACCTTTTCCACGACCAGACATGACGATATTATTTGTGGGGTATACGAAATAATGACTGGCGACGGTCCTGGACAGACATTTTTATCAACTCTGTACTTATTATGTCTGGCCAATCAGATTCCCGAGTTTTGAATCCGAATAGAATCGTAGCCTCGCAATATTTGTTACGTACTCATCGTTGAAACATGAATTGTCATTCCTCTTGATTCTTCTCTAAATTATTTAAACCTGTTATATCAAATTTTACTGTACTGAGTAAAAGCATTTCATGACCAAGTATTCATAATTACAGAATATTATTCTTATTAAAACTAATGTATATTATATACATTTAATTTTACTGGTTATTCCTTCTCTTTCAACTAGCGAAATGCTTCATTATACAAACTTCTGGCATATAGTTTCACTGTATATATGCACTCCTACTGTACTCCTACTGTATATATGCACTCCTACTACTTCACTGTATATACTACTCCTACTACTACTGTACTACTACTACTACTGTACATATAGTTTCACTGTATATATGCACTACTACCTATATATGCACTCTACTACAAGTAGAGTGAGTAACTAGTTGTGTATACGAAAAAAAAATTAAAAATGTATATATACTTACTTTAAAAAAAAAAAAATTAAATAATATGAATCTATAAAAGGTACACAGTACACGGTCAACATTTCTTCGCCAGAATAGGTAAGCACAAGTGCTGTAGAAAAATCTGCACAAGAATGAATATATTGTGAACCAAAAGAGAATTTAAGAACTCCTTCAATTCCAATTTAGTGCATCCAAGGTTGCATCCAAGATAGGTTGCATCCAAGATACCCGAAGCGAAATCTACCTATTAGCCAGTCAGGGGACACTCTTACTGGCGCAGAACATCTCATCCACTTCAAACCCTTCTCGGTCACAACCAAAATCCCTAAAGAAGCTGTAAGTGCTGTACATACCGAAAACGTAGTTGATTTCTTGACATTTTTAACAGTTATTGAGCTGTTAGAAAAGAAAATATAATGCAATCTTCTTTTTTTTTTTTTTTTTTTTGTTGTTTTCCATCTTCTTCAATTGCCTATATTTTTTGCCTTGCACTGAGGTAGTTTGGCAAAAATTTGTTTATATGAAATCTCTTAAATTTATTTCTCAGTTAATTTATTGAACTCTATTTTTCGGAACAGTGAAGTAGTATTCATTGAATAAATATTGTTAAGTTTCTGATGTGTGTGTACACTGATTAATTGACTGAACTTGGTAGTTCTTCAATTCATATCACACACGCCTAGTATTTTCGTGCATTTAGCTGCTGAAAAATTATCAGTAAAGATGCAAAGTAAGTAATTTAGAACTAAATGTTCACAAAGATCAGATACTGAAATTAATAATTCATAAATTTTAAGTAATCCTGTCAATGCATTAGCCAATTTACTAAATGTTAAAACAATAACTTTTCAGAGAAGCTATACCCCTACTGATTAGAAGAAATGCTGTGCTGCAGCAAATCTGCATATATATATTTAAATTCTTAAACATAAATAACTATCCAAGTAAGTTGCTATAGGTATGGCTGTCTTTCATTGAAAATACTTAGTTACATAAATGTTGGGAAAAAAAGACAAACAAAAGGTTTTATACATTTTAGGTTAGAAGAAATGCTATGCTGGAGCAGATCTGCATATATATTTAAATTCTCTAAACATAAATAACTATCCAGGTAAGTTGATTTAGGTATGGCTTTCTTTTATTGAAAATACTTAATTACATAAATGGGAAAAGGAAACAAAGAAGTTTTATAAATTTTATTTCTACACTAAATAAGTCACACATAATATAACACAGAATCAAAACACATTGCAGGAATGCACTGCAATCATCACTCACTGTTGCCATTTAGTGAGGAAATAAAACTGTTGCTACTTACACTGTCTATAAATAGCTATTGAAATGCAAACAAACCCCCAATATCTATTTGAGGGTGGTGGAGATCCAATAGAATTCATTCTTCAAAACAATGCCATTGTGCTGAAATGACCCCTCAGCTCATAAAGTGGTCAGATCAGGTCAGACAAGTGTAGCAAGATGGTGCATGTGATGTTTGATGTTTTTAATTCCACCAAATGTAGGATATTGAACTAAAGAATATAGTTTTTATTGGAAGGTAAGTTCATTTAAGATTATATTTTCGATTTGTAATAAGTAATATTAATATTAATAGCTGTCTATAAGTAATATGAATATTTGTATGATGAAAGAATTTGCAAAACAATTTTTTCCTTCTTAGTGTTCATTGTTTATGTTTTGCCTAACCAGGTTTTTCGTATGAAATGTCTTGTAATTTTTTTTTCCTGTTGTGTAAATGTTTATTGTTTATAATAAGAATTGTTTTGGAAAAAAATAATATCCCATAATTCTAAATGCTT